TTAATGTCGGAAGTGAGATGATTATTCGCACTTTCTTTAGCGAGGTCAGAGCACTAGATTAAATACAAGGCCGTTCCACCTTTTGGGGGAGAAAGATTAAGCACACAAATCCTTTGTTTTCGAGCCACCTTGTTGTGGAAGGCTATCGAGGACCTGGAGAGCTATCCATGATCGATAGGTGGACCTCCCGCCAAATCCTGAAGGGTGGCCGATTCACCTCAATAGTCAGCTGACACTGTAGATGTAAGGAGACAAGATATAACGAATGGTGTCACACTAAGTTCACTGGTGATGAAGTGACAGCTTTGCAATTTCAGGTGGGCACTAAACGCTGTCCCTCAGCTGCCCCTGACCGCCCTGACCCTTCGAAACTGGGCGATCTCGAGGCTTAAATAAGTACAGAATGAGTAGACAGTGTGTTCCTTTTTTTGGGTCATGTCATTGTCTACGAGCTCCAACCCAATGGCGAGGGCTGGCGCCACACGCTCCATGAAGATAAGTAATCGTGAGTCTCAACAGCCCCCTAGCCAATGAGGTGTTCTTGAACGGGGACGAATCCTTTGAATGTGGTAAATCAGTACAGGAGACCATTTCCGTCGAATACTTGTAACCGCGATAGTTCATCGTTCATCACAAGCGGACCATATGCCAGACGTGGTGCTTATGCCGTCGCCATACACCCCTCAGCCATCATTTTGATTAACTAAGGCGCATAAACTCCCTCAGTCTCTCAACATACTGATAAGCATAATGCTTACACATTATCTCTTTGTGTAATGTCACAAATCTATGTTTAAATCGTAGACGTCGATGGTGATAGTATCCTATCAGACCTTCTAAAATTAATAAGACAGAAGTCACACGTCCCTACTGTAGCATGCATGCATGCACTGGTGGGTCCTTCGATGTAGCCACAACAGTGATGCTTCACAAGTGTGTCACCATAAAGTATGAATATTGATGAAATAGATGACATGTGGCTGCGTTGAAAAACGGAAGAAGGATTCGTCAATGGACGGGGGGTTTACTTCCCTTCTATACCTTGATTAGGCTTATGCGCTGACTGCTGCCGATCCAACACGTTGGTGTGTTCACGCTCGAAGAAACAGGACTTATGCATATCAACATTTGTGCACGACAAACAATGCACATTATCTACCCAACTGTCAATTGTGCAGCAGTCATTTTTAGCCTAGATACCGACTGACACAGAAAATACGAACAACCTAAGATTCCCATTATCCTGAAGACTAAAGTGCCACGTATACCGATTTCAGTTCCGTCCAGTAGTCGGTAGCATATTTGGAACCCTCCTTGCCTTCACCACTCTCCTTCCACCCCCCAAACGGCATGTCGGCCGTCATGGTCGGGCTTGTGCAGTTGATGCCGACGTTTCCGGCCTCGAACCTCTTCGCAATTCTAAGCGCGCGTGAAATATCCTTGGTGTATACTGAGGCGTAGAGACCATAACTGGTATCGTTGGCTATCCCCAGCACCGCCTCTTCATCATCAAAAGAATTGATGCACATCACCGGGCCAAATATCTCCTCCTTCATCACCCTGGAGTCGGCTGGTGCGTTTTTAATGATCGTCGGCTGAACAAAGTATCCACGGTCTCCGACTCGCCCTCCTCCGGTGACGAACTCTAAGCCCGCAGTTCTCGCCTCTTCCAAGAACCCCATGACTCTGTCGAACTGTAACTTATCTGCCTGAGGGCCGCGCTGGATGCCACGGCCCAACGGGTCCCCAGCTGTGCCGACACGATCCATCTCGATCTTGAGAGCATCTATGAATTTGTCGGCAATGGCAGTGTGGACAAAGACTCGCGAGCTTGCGACACAAGCCTGGCCCGAGTTCACAAGGATTGAGAAGGCTGCAGCAGGGACGGCCTTTTGAAGATCGGCGTCTTCAAATATTATTAGTGGGCTCTTGCCACCAAGCTCTAATGTGACCTTCTTCAAGTTTGATTCAGCGGCAGCCTTCTTGATGGCGCGACCGGTGGATGTAGATCCCGTGAAGGAAACCTTCCGGATGTCCATGTGTCGCGCAATAGCCTCTCCGCATGGCCGTCCAAAGCCATTGAGAATATTCAAAACGCCTTTCGGCAAACCGATTTCTTGGCAGCATTTGGCTAAGACCAAGGGGCTCAGAGGGGCCTTCTCAGATGATTTGAGAACCAGCGTGTTGCCTGCGATCAGCGCAGGACCGAGCTTTTGAACAACCATGGTAATTGGGGCGTTCCATGGAGTAATCGCACCACATACGCCGAACGGCTGCCGCAAAACAATGTTCAGCATACCGGGTGTGTTCAGAGAGCTGTCTCCTAGAATGTCCGAGGCCTTTCCAGCGTAATATCGTAGTTGACTCATCGCAACCGCTGTCGCAACTGTTCTTATGCATTAAATCCAAGTCCTTGAGTGGTTATGGCATCTTGACCAACCATCAGAATCCACTGGCTTTCCCATGCTGATTGCGTCGAGGTAGGACATTTCTGCAAAGTGCTTCTCCATGGAATCTGCCAGCTTGAACAGGAACGCTCCTCGCTCCGTGGCTGCGAGGTCGGACCATGCAGGAAACGCTGCTTTGGCAGCCGCTACAGCGTCATTGACATCTTCGACGTCCGCCTCGAAAACAGATGCTGTCTTCTGCTCAGTAGCAGGGTTGTAGACGTCAAATGTCTTCCCACTGCGAGAGGGGACGAACTCCCCGTTGATGAACAGACGGGTCTCGATTGGCATCTCTTTGAGTGCCTCAATCGCGCCAGAGATGACAGGTAGCTTTGGGAGTGACATTGTCGGAGAGTGTCGTAACAGTGATTTCGTAGTAACCAACTTAACTCTCAATTGAGTTGAGGAGCTTGGGAAGACTTCTTGTGTCAAGTAATTGAATACTCTGCCGGCCTTCAAACGACAAGGCAATTGTTTTCTACAGTGACTGTGCTCAATATATTGCCAGCATTAATCAACATCATCAGAATCTGGGCAACCTTTGTCTGCTTGGCTCTCTCGCAGAAGACGTTTGCTATCTCCGAAGTCCGTCTCGGCATGCATGAAGCGTTTCACTGAATTATCGCCAAGTCTTGGCCAAGGTGGAATAATCCTACTGTGATTGACGTGCATTGCTGATGCCTCCTTACGTCACGGGCCGCATCAACCAGTGATTTCACCTCACGGAAAGGCCATATGGCATGGTAATCGTACGATTCTTCTAGACCCGTTGTTGTTGTTGTTGTTGTTGTTGTTGTTGTTGTTGTTGTTGTTGTTGTTGTTGTTGTTGTTGTTGTTGTTGTTGTTGTTGTTGTTGTTGTTGTTGTTGTTGTTGTTATTGTTGATGCAAGTATGTTATACATGATGATTTGGTAGTCGACAGCATCTAATATGTATCAGACAGATTCTGATCATTAGAAAATTATCACGAAGTCTTAGGTATAAAGAGAAAGTTAAGCTTTGCTGTAGCGCATACTTCATAACTCTTTAGGTTCGAGGTCATTGCAGAAAACACTCCATCCACTCTGACCTGCTGGTGTTGCTTGCATTCTACCCTTGTTGAGTATCCGTACCCTGTTTTGAACTCGTTCAAGTTTTGCAACCAACTCCTTGCGTGGCGCTAAGGCAGGTGGCCGTTAATTCGTTGGTGATCCTGTCGTAAACAGGAAGTTCTCTTGTCGATCACCAAGTCAGAACTTGCGGGGTCCGCCTTGATGCCGGTTCACGGTGCGGGCCTTGCCCGGATGCCTAACGCCGAGATGTGGAGACGAAGGCTGTGGTTTCCAACCATGTTGTATTCGCTTATATGACCAATAGCAATATTGAGTCCTAAAGCCAGCGCCAGTTAACATTTCGCAGCCCTCGTCCCGGGTGACCGAACCGACCGAGGTCCGTGACCATTGTGTAGCAAAGAGAAATTTCATTCTGACAGTTACCTTCGAATCTGATCGGCGTCACCAAAAAGACCACTACGCCGACGACCCCAAAACGTGACGCCAATAGGACTCAAACCTAATTGACAGTATGAAGTTTCTCTTTGCTACATAATTATGACAATGACTCCCGTCTGCTAAATCAGCCCCATGTGCAAGCCCCACCTTGCGCTTGTGCCTGCTGTAACTGAGCGAGGCAATCTGGCTTCAGAAAGATTTTCCCCACTCCTAGATGAACGAGATGAAGACTCCGTACAATCTTCACATATCGCTCTTGACTACGGCGAAATGCCAGAATAGCTGGAAGTATTAGAGAATACTCGACACATACGAACAAGTACGTGTCCGCATGACGAACATGGCCACCGGGGAGCGGTTGCAAACATTTAGTATGCCCATAGACGATTCCACGACAAGATTGAAGATACAAACGGTGAGCGTTAGGTACAAAGTCCTCGTATTGTCACTGTGGCACAGAAGCCAGTCACTGCAAGTAACTTAATACTTCAATATACCCCTGCTGTTTGCGCAACCAAGTAGGGTTTCTTGTTCAATCGGTAGCCTGATAATATTTGTAATGAGAGCAGGCGCCTTAGGGCTGCAATCGAGACACGAATTCTCCAAGCAACCTGGAATGAAAAGTCCCAGTCCATTTGAAAGCTGCGAGCCGTAGTGCTTGTATGTCTATACCCCGCATTTTCCAACATGAGAGGTTTGAAGAAGAGGCACCGGTGCGGGGTATCAGGCCTGATCTATGCCTCCCCATGAAACCACGGACCGTGTATCCATGCTCTTAGTCAATTATTGCATCATTTTGGCAGCCTAAGTTGCCTGAGTTGCCTCCTGTGCGGGCGAGCCGCGGCAGCAGTTAACCGAGCTTCACTGGCTATATTTTGCCGAATGGCACAACGCATGCTTTCAAACATCTAGTCTTCGGTCACACCAGCTGCTTGCATCATTCACTGCATCTGATGGGATGATACGTTCAATCCAAATTGTTTTTGAGAACGAGCAAAACTCATCCGCAAAAGATCAACTGATCATCCAATTCATAGTAGTGAGTCGGTCGTAAGCATTCGCCATGTCCAGCCTCGAGATCAACGGCAAAGATTTTATGAAGCTCAAGGACAAAGTCATATTGATCACAGGTATTGTAATTTCTTTCAAGCCGCTTCCAAGTTTGCGTTTGCGTAGGTTTGCGTTGGTTGGTGTTGTTCTGGCTTAAACACAACACATAAACTCCCTATCCTCGGGTTTGACGTAGGACCCTTTGCAGTCACATCACAGTAGTAGCCGGGTAATGATTATGTTTGTCGACAAAATGCTGACTGTTCTCGGCAGGAGGCTCCTCCGGCATCGGCCTGGGGGTCGTCAAGCTTCTGTTATCCATCGGTGCTCGTGTGACAAGTGTCGATCTCACTGCCCCACCGGCCTCTGAAGATTTTACTTCACAATCGCCTACATTCACGTTCGAAAATTGCAATGTCTGTGACTGGAAAGCCCTTCGAAGTGTTTTTTCACGAGTAGTGGAGCGGGAAGGACGGCTTGATTCAGTTTTTGCAAATGCCGGTAATAGTCCAAACATGTCCCGGAGAGCTGTTGGTTCGCGACTAATGATGAGGCTGCGAATCTTGGAGCTTGCAGGCGTAAATCCTCGCACGCGATTCATAGATGATGAGATCGATCCTACCGACGGCCAATTGAAAGAACCGGATTTGTCATGTCTCGAGACAAATCTGTATGGTGTAATTTCTACGGTTAAGCTGGCAGTGCATCACATGCGAGCTCGTGAGATTCAAGGCAGCGTTGTCATCGCAGCGTCTGTGTCGTCTTGGACGAGATTCGGAGCAGTGGATTATAGTAGGTGAAACCATTACCCATGCTTTTTCTGAAAGCTTTGTCCCTCTCCAAAGAATGATTTCCGGGATGACAGCATTTACCGATACGGACCAGCTATGCTCAAGCTTTTCAATAATTTAGGACAGGTCTAACCGCATAATCTAGCGACATCAAAGCATGCTGTGTTAGGTTTTATGCGAGGATTGCTTCCGCATACCTCCAGATTGCCCTTCCCCATTCGGATCAACTGCATTGCTCCAAACTGGACGAAGTCTGGTCTGGTCACTGAAGAAATAGTTGCTCCCACAGGCTTTAGCCTGAGTACTCCTGAAGAGGTCGCGCGGTCAGTTGGGCTTCTGATGACAGACGAAGACCGAAACGGGGAAGTAATCTTCGTCGATGGCGGAAGGTGTTGGGAGATCGGGAAAACACTTGAGGGGGACGGAGTTGGGAGATTTGTTGGCCCGACAATGCCGCCCGGGACTTCCGGCCGCACACACTGGGAACAGTATATAGAATTTTGTCGTAGGATGAATATGGCACTTGGAATAATGTAGCAGTGCTGTTGTGCTCGAACAGAACTATTTTGGGGGTGTTGCGAGTGAGGTTGGTCTTACTTGTAAAAGGCTGAATCATTGCATGTCAGTCTTGACAAGTCCGTGGAATACTCTTCTAGGTGTTAATAATCCGACTGCACTATTCTCCCTGGCACGTGTTGACGACTTTGGGGTCTTGAAGCCACATGAACATCTAAATACTTGATCATTGGCAAAATGCGCCACTCGACGGCGACGATCGCGCTTCACCTCACGAACTTCATATCATGCTTTTGTCAGATGGAATAAAAGTACATCGGTTTAACTAGGGGAAGGCCTGATTCATGTGCTCAAGATTTCTCCCCCCATTGGTTTCCATGATATTTGACTGAGAGTGGCCTGTCAAAAGATTCTTGTCCCTAGCAACACCTTATAAAAGCCTTGCGATACAGATCCCACGACGCAGAGCTTGGACCATCAAACCTGGAATTCCTTTCTCTTACCATCTCATAAAATGAAAGAATCCAGTTCGGTTGAGGCTGGAGGCCTGGATGTCCAGGAGACTTTTTCGTTGTTCGAGGGGTTGATTGGCCGGAAAGCCATTCGTTGCGCACTCCACCGACTGGAGACTTTCTATAGCTCCCTGGAGGAAGGTATACTGTTATAGGTTTCACTAGGCGATTCCAGACCAGGTCTTCGAGACTACGAAAGTCTCCGAGCTTATGATACGTGGTCAACTTTAAGCCCCACTCCGTTCGGATTCCGCCCCTTTCAATGTCAATTTTATAGTCGGCGAAGCAAAAAATGCATGATCCACCTGCGTTGTCAGGAAAAATATTGAAATCAGGTTGCGCAACGGATACCCTCAAGCCTTGCAGTTCAGGGATGCAGAATTCGCCAGGTACCAAGAAACGCAAAGTCGGCATTCTGCTTGAGCCGAGAATGTGTCGACACACGAGTAACTCTTAGCTGTCGACAGTTCTGACGAAGTCGACTTGGGAGCAAGGTGGACCCCTAATGTGGTAATGACGGTAGATGAAGAGCTCGTCGTCGATTATTCTTGCGGATGTTTGATGCTTGAAAACCCACCGTGTGGCGGCTTGCGAACTCGACGGGCGCAACGGCAGCAAGTTGTACCCTGTACTGCGCCAAAAGTCTACTGGGAAATGCGTTTTTGGTGTCTTTTCGCCGTCCAGAGAGATGAAGCCGTCGAATTCAACCGCATTCTCCAAGTACTGTAAGGGCAAGCCGAACTTTGGCCCAAGGAAATACCTATTCATAATCAGGCGCCCTTCAGAAAAGCTGATCTCAGAAGTGCTGCGCCTCACTGCCAAAGTCCCTGGTCTCCAAGTCACAAGGCTTATGTCTTCTATCCAAAGCTGGAATAAAGCTGGAATGTTCCTGGTCTGCGGCGGCCACCGGGCCGTCGCTTTGGTATTGGCGAAATATTGAACCCCCAAACGATCCGGAACACAGAGTCACAGCCAGGATGAAGGTGTATTGCCGTGCGACTATCATGAGAACTCCTCAGGGGCCGAAGTCATGTGCATCCGAAGCAAAAGAACAGTCCGGTGCATCTCTTTCTAGTAGGACAAGAGTTGCGAGTAAATTATCCTGCTTTTGTTTCAAAAACCGATGGGTCGCACACAAAGCCGAGAACAACCATCTTAAGTTCAGGGCAAGGGCTATGCGTGATGATATGGGCAGCGCGTCGGCAATCATGAAAAGAACCTCGACTGGCACAGAAGGCAGCCTGAATGGATTCTTTTGCGCCTCAGTCGTTTATGTACAGCGCGTCACCGTGTGTATTCATTCAAACGAAAAGAAGAATGAAAAGAAAACGGGAGAGAAAATCCGAAGGGTTACTGAGCATAAGAAATTTTGCATGCAAATCTTTGAAGAAGCCGGAGCTTAAATAGACTTTTTGTAAGAAAATCAAGGTCAATCGTAAAACAGATGGTACATGGTTTTATGGACCTCGTCTCGTCTATTGACAAACGGTGGAAACCTTGATATGTATCTTCTGACGTCCACTGGCAGGGCCGGCTCAACGACTGTCCATGTTCAACCGAATGATTGGAAGATGCGATATTTGCTATCCAGTCAGATCAACGGTGACATCATGACTCAAAGCATATTGACATCCGAAATCAACTGACCGTTTCACATCGCAAATCGCGGCCCATTCTCGTCAATCTGCAACCACAACCTTAGATCCTGCGCCGTGGCCTTCAACTCAGCATCACCCATGGTTTGCCAATCTTTGGAATGCTCTCTGCCATCGGAATCAAGTCTCAAGAGCAGAGTAGCCAGAGGGCTTGTCCTACATGCCTTAATATTTGCTTGTCGTGTCTTTACCACGACTCCGATGAAAACCGCAAGCCCGAGAGCCCAAACAGCCAGAGACGCTGAAACACACTGCCACGGGGCGGCGAAAGTTTGCTTCGGTTCTTTCGTCGTGCCTTTAAGGAGAGGGTGGCTCCCGTTGTCCTCTATCTACCAAGAACGCAATGGTTAGCCTCGCTGCTATTTTCCTCATTGCGCATGGAACGCCATCTTGCCCTGTTTGATCGCCCCTGCAATAGAAACATGTCCAAGTGCCATTCAGTGTATGGTCTTGGATGTACCAAACAGTAGACGAGGTGGCAAAAAGGTCTGTATTCGTGGGGCTGGACACATGACCCGTGAGAAAATCCTTGAAATAGTTTTGCATCCCTGCATGGGTACCACCCGTAATGAAAGGAGCAGTATATATCTTCTTCTGCTGTTCGCTGATGTTCCTACTTTGGTTCGAATTCTCGAAGTAGTTTGAGACGTCCCCGGCTTCAGGAACATTGTAGTCGTTCCACTGCTCTGTAATTTCCATGGCAGGAACAGTGCCGTCGGTGGTGGTCAGACCTGAGGTTTTGATGTTGTCGACAGGCCAGCCAAGAACAAGATACTGCCTCTGGATGCAGAGGACTATCACGCATTCATGGGCGGTATCCTTGGTGATCACCAACGCCTTTGATGTGGTGTAAGTGGAGCTGCCATCAGGAAGTGTCATAATGGATTGCACGCACGCCAGTGGAACTGTGTAGTTATATATGAGAGCAGGCATGGTGGTGTTCATCAACATGGCAATCCTATTGGGATTATCGCTTTGGGTGGTCAGTTCGGTGCTGCTGAACGACAAGTCATTTTCAAGAGCAACGTTGCAGCCTCCAGTGTCACCGGAACCATCCTCACTAGTAAACATTGGAGTACAAGTGCGCTTCAGGAGATGGGTGATGTCGGTACAGCGGCTGCAACCTGCGATGGAATAGTAGTCGCTCCAATCACATTCGCCAGTCTTGCACTTGTGCGCGGGCGTGACCCACTCAGAGGACGCATCCTTCAAGGCTTGCCCGACGCTGAACGTGAGAGAGGTATCGACTCCTTCGTGACAGTCAGGATAAAGTTACGAAGCTGAGGTGAGATTTGCATATCTGTGCCGGTAAGTGGTTCAAAGGAATAGCTGAAAGCATATAATAGGAGCGCGTTGCTGTCGGCTGGGTGATATTGAATTTCGACTACGAGAAGATTCTGAACAAAGGGGCCGTACGCCAATGCCAGCAGTGATGCAAGACCTCACAGTACCGCCAAATGCCTGTGGTAATTGTTGTTAGATGCGAAAGCCAGTCACTGAATATCGCAGACTTACTTGAACCTCAATTTCCAGATAAGTTGAGCGCTGCCGACTTTTCCCCCAGAGTCTGAATCAAACACCTCCAGGTCGGCCAGTCTTCGGTCCTGCTCCATAACGCACAGATAATATAGCTGGCCGAGACCCTTTGAGACGGGAATCATGGCACAGATTGAGCCGAGTACTAAGAGAATTGAAAGCAACGGGTTGATTGTCAAGCGAAAGGGCTTGAATCTCCCCGGGGCAGATACCGTGCAGTCGGGAACCTCGTTGCCATCAAAGTGGTTCACGACGAAATCTATGGCTATGATGGAGGTGCCTGCTATGAGGATGCCGAAAGCCTCCCACACATAGTACCATGCTCCGAAGAAGGACGTGGCCTTCTGGGGGAAGGACTTGTGCCGCGGTGGTTCATGAGACTGGTTGGAAGGTGTCAAAGACAACCCGACGGACGCCTCAGCGACGGAAAGCTGGACCTTTTCGGAATTCATTAGTGATGAATGGAAAGAAAGTACAGAAGCAGGGAATGGCACACTACAAGTCGGTTGGGGAGATATTACATGTTCTTTCAAGGTATTGTAAACTCCAGCACGGGATTCGTGAGAGCGTATGATTGTGCAACAACAATGCGGCAGTAATAACCAAAGTAGCCAAGCGTTTTGTCAATGCCATTGTTCAGACAATGCCATCAATTGGGCCCGTTGGACACAAAGGGTCCGGAATGCAACCCCTCAAATCCAGACCTCGGGAAGGACGCTCAGCCGCAACTTAGTTCCGTTTGAGCCCGCCGAGTCGGGTCCAGCTGGGATCTATCACGTGCTAGCTCAAGCCACGCCTGCATTTGAGTTGGACTAAACCAGCTAGAACGAGAACGGCTCATACCATGATTAACTCGTCCGCAAAGGAGTATCAGACTGTCGACGAAAAGCTACCTGATATTTCATTCCTGGTAGTGGACAATCTTCATCAGATCGATGTAGCAAAGCGCACGGATTTGGACAACTTGACCTCTGTGAATACTCACCCGTGACACGGCTACAGCGAGAGTCTCGACCAGTCCAAACGCTATGACCTCTAGATAGCCAATGTCTGGGTTCTCACACCGCATTCGGGCTTCTGGTGACGAACCCGGCAGTTCAGGTCTCAGTGTAATATGAGTATATGTTCTTACCCTGGACGAGCCCCCCCTCCCCCACCCAGCCTTATTTCTTCTACAGCATTCATACCTAACGACGCATATGGCACGCAACAGCATGACTATTGACATCGAAAAGATTGCAGCAACCTGCGAGGGAAACCCTCGCGTGCGAGTGGCTTCGATTTCTGTGCCATCCCGCAGAACATCTACAGATAATACGCGTTCAGTGCAGGTGCAAAGCTGCAAGTTCAGTGTCAACGAAACCGATATTATGGGCCTCGATGGCAATTCCGGAACATGCGAAAGTCTGGGGTGCATGTACGAAAGAATATGGAGCGTCAAAGCTCTGCTTCGATGGGCGCGGCACTTCGTCCCAGTTGCCGCTCTCCTTGGCGTTCCCGTTGCCCTTTTAGCCACCATCTACGCAGAGAGTCGAGCAGCGGGGGTTCGGCTTCTGGGACTCTTCGTCTGGCTCGAAGTCGTCTGGGGAAGTCTGTGGATTTCCAAACTCATCGCAATGCTCATGCCAACTGCGTACGTCTTTCTCTGCGGCATTGTCAACTCCGGCACCCGGAAATATCACACCGTCCTCCGAGGTATCGAGACTTCCATCTCGCTAATGTTCTGGACCATCATTGCTTATGCCACCGTCGTACCTGTATGCATGGCATTTGACTCCAATATACCTACTCCCGACTGGGTATCGATCTTACAGAAGGTCGCGTTGGCTTCCATTGCTGTCGCCGCCATGGTCCTCGTCCAACGCTTCGTCATTCAGCTCATCAACATCACATACTCCGCAAAACAATTCACCACACGTATTTCAGAGTCCAAGCGCCAAATCGCCATGCTAGACACCCTCTACGCATCTTCGACGCGCATGTATCCGCCATTTTGCGATCGTTTCGCCCAAGAGGACTACACCATCATCACCGGCGAAGTCGAGCAGAAGGACAGCTCACCAAGCAAGCTTCTGGCCAATGTGCGACTGGCAGGGCGGGAGGTTGCACAGGCCTTCGGCCAGATGACAGCAGATATTTCCGGCAACAATTCGCTGTTCAACACCCAAGCCGCTCACACCATTGTCACAGAAGCGCTTGAAGCCGCCGCTTCATCTGCCGCTCTTGCTCGACGTATCTGGAAGTCATTCGCCCCTTTGACGGGGGATGCTCTGACACAAAAAGATCTCGAAAAGGCATTTACTGCTGATCGTATCCGTGACGTTGAAGAGCTATTTGCTCTGCTCGACGTAGACCAGAACGGCGATGTCAGCTTGGAGGAGATGATCTCGACAGTCATACGCATCGGCCAAGAGCGCATCTCAATCTGGAAGAGTACCCACGACATCAAGTCTGCCGTGCTAGTCCTGGACCGTTTCCTCCAGGTTTTCATCCTCATAGGTACTGGTCTCATATACGCCGCCTTTTTCAGCAACTCTTTCTCGACTTATATTGCCAGCATCGGCACTCAGCTTGCCGCCGTCTCTTTCGCCATTTCAGGGACTGTACAGGAGTTTCTCGGCTCGTGCATTTTCATCTTCGTGAAGCACCCCTTTGACGTGGGCGATCGCGTGATAATCGACGGCCACGAGTTGACCGTGGAGAAAATTTCGCTGCTGTATTCCGTTTTTCAAAAGGTAGGCTCCAACAAAACGACACAGGTTCCCAACATCAATCTCAACAGCATGTGGGTGGACAATGTGTCCCGAAGCAGGGGTCTACGAGAGCGCATTAAAGTGCAAATTGCAGCCGACACCAGCTTTGATGACGTTGAGAATTTGAGAAGACGGATACGCGATGAGATTAGTGCCCCTGAGAATCGCCGGGACTTTCGTCCGGATGTAGACGTTGAACTTGTCTCTATTGGCGATATGAGCAAGCTTGAGGTCTATGTCGAGGCTGAGCACAAGGTAAGTTCTACTCCCTTCGCTCACAAATCTGCTTGCTAACCCGATAACAAGTCGAATTGGAATAATGAGAAGACGCGTCGCATACGTCGCAATAAGCTCATGACATCTGTGGTGGGATCCCTTCGTGCTGTTTCGATTCATGGACCAGGCGGGGGTAGCGCTACCCTGGGCGATCCAGCCAGATCAACTTATCAAGTCGTTGTGAGTGAAGAGGTAGCCGCGGCGGCAGCTAGAGATTCCCAACATGAGAAGAGCGCGCTCAAAAGTGTTTCTCCTGTATCAGGTTCCAATGATGATGATCAAGAGTCGTTCACAGGCATGACACGGCGCAGGTAAAGGTGACTACTGAACTGAGTGAAGCTTCATAGTGGACATGGTACTCGAGTTGTTTCGTGTTCTATGGGAATCTCAGAGCATATGTAGCAACGACAAATGTTCTGCGTCGGAATTTGCAATGGATCAGGAGCCGAGTCTGACGGAAAAAAGACATATGAAAGCGAAGGGGCTGGTCTTTGGCAAAGTATCTTCATTGATAGGCAGACATAGAACATTGGATGCCATTTTTCCACTGTTACAAGTAGAGGAGGCGAAGGTGGAGAGCGATAATGATGCGTGGGCGGTAAAAAGATAGCAACCCCCATGTTGAAGATGAGTTCCCAGGGAATTTTGGTGAGGCAATAGTAGCGTACCACCTTACTAGCATGCATTTCGTTATGTGGAAGGTGCCTTTTCATTCAACTACATTCATAATTCTTCGCTTCATTGCATTCTTTTTAGGTGACCTTCTAGCGTCTATTTCGTAGCTGGTATCGCAGGCTTTGTGCCAATCTTGTCCGTCTAACGTCAGTTGCCCTGAATGATTACAGCATATATCTTTCTCAATCTTACACCGTGTGCTTTGGCTTCCTGGAAAACGTGTCAGTTCTTCCCTTCAAGTCCCTCTCCCTCGAACTACCTCCAATTCCCATCCAAGGTGACCACCAACAAATCTCTCGCTAGCTGACTTTGAGATCCAATTTCATAAAGTCCGAATTACTTGCAAAGCATCAAAGGCTTTTTGGGATTTGCCTCGCAACATGAATTCCGGCCCTAAACCCAATTATGGTCCTCCGTGCATGTTCTACACTGGGACCGGATCCAAAATTATCCCTTCTCTGGACCGAACTCTCTTCAGATGAACTTTCCCATGAGAACATCTAGAAGAACGTTTCTTGGTTTGAAGAGCAGGAATTCTTCCTCCTCATTCACATGGTGTTCTTAACTTTTGATTTCTTCACTTTTGGTTTCTATCTAGATCACTAGCCAAGAGTCTAGTAAAGGAAGTTTGGAGGGAGCAACGAACTCATACGAATTGATGGATTGATAGTCCTGATTTGTCTACCAGTCAGAGCCAAGGTTCCCAGGTACCTTGACGATGAAAACTCTTTAGAAAACTTGAAATTGATCAGCTGTGAATTTACCGGCTGTCGAGGACGTCTAGATCTTGAACTCAAGCTTTGTCTGCGTGGATCGAGGAAGCATGAAAGCATCTAGTAAAGACTGTCTAAGCCATGATGCCCATTCCGGGTTGACTCAAACACATGTACTCAAAGTACCATATCAATCTTCTCGGTATTGAATTAAAGTACACATTAGCGCTGTGCAGGTGAGAATCTTATATAAGAATCTTATGGTCCAACCCGCTTGTTCCTGGCCGACTACGCGATGCCTGCTAGTTCTTCAATTGACTTTGACCATGCGTTCGTTTGGCACTCGGACATGCTTCTTCCTCAGAACCCCACCCTGAACCCAAGGGTGTCCAGTATTTCAGAAAGCCGTCGTTCAACCTTAACCCATTGTAGCGTTGGGCGACTACTTCTGAACAACCCGACTCTGCTCTGGCAATTATTACGTGCCTCGACTAGTATACACCAAGACTGAAACCAAATCCATGATGATGTTCACATACCCGATTGTACTCGCCTCAGCCGCGACTTTGTTGTTTGGCACGACTGCGAATTCTGTATCACCGCCCGACGGTCGACGCCAGCTCAGCCATCGAGTCGACGGCCCCCTCCTCGATCCCAAACGTACGACTGATGCGGTGCGCGCGCCAAAACCAAACGTTTGGCGTGATCTTACCGAGGATGAAGTCCACAACGTGACCCAGTGGCTTCTCGCTCAGCAAGACCTCAATCTGACCGACCCTCAGTCAGCAGGGCCGTGGTCTAATACAATGTAAGACACTGAGGGAAAATAACTTGAACATGAATTTGACGAAAGTAATGACAGTCTCTTTGCTGAGCTCAACATTCCCAACAAAACGGCTGTTCTTCCTTATTTGGACAGCAATTCCACAGAACGTCCTCCTCAGAGATACGCACGTATTGTCACCACTCGCCGAGCAACTGCAGAAGCCTACTGGCAAGAGCTTCTCGTTGGACCCTTGCCCATAAGTGCCCAAACGACTGTCCAGCCTCTCCAATATCTCTTAACCCGCAAAACAGATGGCATGATCCGTTGGCTTGACCCGGATGCCCACGGTGCCTTAGAAAAGGACTTCCTGTATAAGGTGTCTGCTTCTGTTGCAGATATCACTCAGGAGTTGTGCGGAGGCGTCGCCCTTGGGCAGGATAATGACTCGCTGGCCCTCGTTGGACTCACGACTCCGTACCAGGAAGATACCGACGGAGTCATCGTTCGATGGGACGAGTTCAAAAGAAAGCCATCGGATCAATTTGATGCCCAGACACTACTCCCTCTGGGTCTATTCCTCAAGACCGACGTGACTGGGCGTGATTCAAGCAAGTGGCGCGTCATGGGATGGTACTACAACGACATCTTCTACGCTGACACTAACGCGTTTCGAGCTGCATACCAAAGCGGAAATTTTCAACGGTTGGAGCCAAACGTGGAAGGTGACTGGGCTCGAACAGACCGTCAAGGGCCACCATTACGGCATGACCAGTTGCAACCGCCCAATATGCTGCATCCCAATGGGCAGACACGTTTCTCGGTGGACAGTGAACAGCAGTATGTGGAGTGGATGGACTTCAGCTTTTACATCGGATTCTCGCATGATACTGGTATGTCGCTTTACGATATTCGATACCAAGGTCAGCGAGTGTTATATGAGCTGGGCTTGCAGGAGATCCTAGTACACTACGCAGGTGAGTAAAACTCTTCGTACCACAGTCAAATCATTCTGACATCAGCCGTTTCCTTTTTCTCTCACTATCTGACTATATTTGCAGGATCCGGCCCATACGAATCAGGCCACGTTTCTCATGATTCGCATGTTGGCATTGGTCGATATGCACTTCGTCTGGTACCTGGATATGACTGTCCTTCATACGCAACATTTATGGACACGCGAAGCCATTCCGGAGGCGGAACCAACGGCCGACGCAATTCCATCTGCATCTTTGAGTACATGGCGGACTCGCCAATCCAGCGACATACAGCCTTCACTTACTTGTCTATCACGAACAACGTTTATCTTACTGTTAGAACGGTCAGCACCATAGCCGATTATGACTATGTTATCAGCTACAAATTCTACATGGACGGATCCATTGGGGTGGAAACGGAGGCTTCAGGATACATCATCGCAGCCCATCGAGCTCACAATCAGGACTACGGATATAACATTCACGACCATCTTTCAGGTTCGATGCACGAACATGTCATCAACTTTAAAGCAGACTTTGATATCCTAGGGACTCAAAATACGGTTCAAATAGTGCGAAATGTCCCGGTCAAGCAAGTATATCCCTGGTCCAACGGGAAAACGCGGAGCACGATGCAGCTCCAGCGGTCATTCATCATCAATGAGGATGACAGCCGCTTGAATTGGGATGACAGCACGGCTCAGAAGCAATTGGTCATTGTTAACCAAGATGCTGTTAACGAGTATGGTGAAATGCGCGGCTACCAGCTCGTCCCGGGGCAGCCAGCAGCGGCACTTCACTCCCGGCTTACGGCCGTGAACAGTACGTCACTTGGCCGAACAGCTGGCTGGAGTTCCCATGATGTGCATATCACAGCCCAGCATGACACGGAGCCGAGATCAGCGTACCCTTTCAACGCCCACGACCTCTTCAATCCCCCTATCGACTTCGACCGGTTCTTCGATGGTGAGAACCTCAATCAGACAGACCTCGTCGTATGGTTCAACTTGGGCATGTATCATCTACCGCACTCTGGCGATCTTCCCAACACTCTTACCACCACAGCCCATGCAGGTGTGAAGATTGTACCAGTCAACTTTTTCTCATTGGATCAGACCCGTCGCACGGTGAACCAGGTCCGGATGGATTTTGGAAAAGGGAAAGTGTCCCATGTGGAGACGTTCGGACGGTCGATGAACCTTACTGAATCAATGGGAGGGAATGGGTGCTGCTGGATGAACGACCAGGTTTCGTTGGCCGAACTGTACAACTATGACGGCCCGGTAGATGATTAGGTAGATCAGAGCGAATATCGTCGTGATGGGCGGTCCGACTATGAGTCTAGATGCGGGGTGCGAAACTTAGCCTAGGTTTCTTCATCGACGCTTTTGACAATCAATTTCTTCGAGTCAAGCCCTACTTCTCTTCCATTGATTTGCATCTCACACAATTCTGCAGCACCGTTTAGCGGCCGCTGTCCCACTCTAGGTACAGGGACATGTTCGGGCAAAAAGGGGTGAGCTTCTTTAGCGAAGCTGAGAAGTTAGTTTAAACGCCGTGCGGCTTCGCTGGACGACGCGCGTCTCTGCCTAGAAGCGGCCCCGGAACTCAGATGAGCGCGCGAGTTGCGAAAGCGATGGGAATTAGTGGGGTTTTCGTATTCAGGATGATCTCGTTTGAATTAGTCCCCTAAGAGCGCCAACCCGCGGATCGCGGCACATATTTCGTTTGATGCCTTGAGTAGTGAATTCGCCGTTGTCAGGTGCATCATGCTTGGGATCGGGTAATTTGATTGAGACGGTATTCACTCGCTAGCTAATAATTGGCTAGCTACTAGATACAGATTTGCTCAAAAGCTGCCACGCGTCCTCAAGGGCTGCGCTTCTAACATTGGTCTAAAACTTCTTGGACAGCTTCGCAGGCGGGTCCTTCAGCCGTGACATAGGTAGTCTTTGGTTCGCGTTTCTTTTCTGCGTTCTACGAAATCATGATTTTAACATTCCGCAATAATTGATCCCATTGGACGTCATGTCTGCTTTTGGCTTCTTGAAGGGAGGTAAGCTGTGGACGCAGTTTCGCGAGCCGTTCACCAGCGGCTGGCTTCTTGCCCCGCACTTGGCGGAGATCAGAGCTGGCCCTTGCCATGCTTGTTCCTGCCGCGGACCCTGAATACCCATGAACGACATTCAGAACAAAAGCTTCGTACACACCCCTACGGCCTCAATTAGTTGACTTTGCACTACCGTCTGAACTGTTCAGCCTTGGCTTAGATCACAACTTTGACGGCAATGAAGTGTCAACTTTAAAGTAGTTATTCCTGCCGAAACTACTGCGGTTTATGAATTCAATTGCTGTAATAGCCGCAGGCCCAGTCTAACTAGCGCGTAAGCATTGAAGACTATTGTCTCATGACACCATTGCAAGGGTACTGTTTCGAGGAAGACGGATGAGACTCAACGGGACAAGCGGGATTTTCATTCTGCGACCCCACGTGGCACTTGGAGCTGCCATGCCCTCGATCGGACTACCTTGACTAAATGCCAGACCCCTAAATCTGCCAAGGTTTTCTGAGCGCTCTCACCATATGATTCGTGTTCTAACGTAGCCCTGCCAAGCCTATGGTTCTTGGATTTTCATGCCATCCACTTGCAGTTCAGGGTCTGTCCAATCTCCGTCGTACGTCATCTGCGCGATGGCCCTCTTGACCGCCCATTCCCGAATCTTGTCAAAGTTTCGACAGCTGTGTGGCAAATTAGCCCGGTGTCGACTCTTTTGCAAGTTGTCATCCCATTGAAGAACCAATGGGGTGATATCTGAATGACACATGATCGACTGCCTAATGGAGTCGATGCAATGTGCTAAATGGTCCTTCTCGAGGATGGCGGCATAGTAAGGATCGGAATAGTACTCCGGCCATACTGACATGCGAAGAGCATTCTACGTAAAACAGGGGTCGGAGGTTAGCTCTGTGAGCTTGCATCCCAGTGTGAGACTTTGGTAGACTTACGAGGCAGTGCAGCTGATGAAATACATCCAACTTTATCCAGTAAAGACCTGGATGCCTGGGACCAAGGGTTGAGGTTGTGTTGGAAAGGCGCTGCGCTTCATCCCGCGTAATGGCTTCTCCTACGCTGACTTTCGGGAGAATCAGCCATATTCCTTTTCAAAACCAAAGAAGAGATTCCGCTCACAGTGCCAAAGCTCAGCCCAACGCTGATCCATTTCTTCTGACGGGGCTCCCCAATATTCAGTGACACCGTCTCCAAACCCTTGGGTAAAGGTCTGCAATTGATATTCTATTACGTCTTGTGCTGGACCTGAAATGCCGTTAATCAAAGGGAAGAGCCCCATTAATACCATCTCTGCCGTCAGAAAACAGCCTATGTAACTTACTGTAGAGAAGCTGCCCACATAAATGCTTCGCTCGGGTGATCCGGTACTGGGCATAGGTGTAACTGACACCGATGGTCCCCAAGAACCACCAGCAGACGATCAATACAAGACTGAGTTGCTTACATGCCGTCCTACGGAGGTTGGGTCGACGTGGACAAGACTCGTTACCGATTTCGGAATCGCAAGGAACGAGCCACTCTGTCGAAGAATTTTGAAAAGTAGCCATTGGAATTCGGGTGCTAAAGAGTGATGAGAAATGTCGTACGTCGTGTGTTGATCTGTCTTCTGCAACATGCGGGCTTAATAATAATTATTCTGCAAGAATGCAGCCGTATTTATTATCAATACATGCCGGAACGGACAACATTGCAGGCAAATACCGTCGGCATATAGACACATCAAGAAATGGGTGTGCACATGAGGCGTTTTACTACCGGCTTTGAAGGCCGCTTCACCCCCCATTCCAGATGAAATTTAGCTAACCGGTGCCAAATTGCCCAAAACCCTAAATCACCAGACTATACCGTTCTAGAAAACAGTTCAAGCTGATCGCACTGACCAGACTACTATTAAGTCACTGTCCACGGGTAGCTCCGGGGAGAAACCAAAAGTCTAGTTGCTATCCAGCGGCTGGCATCCTCTTTTCCCGGGCTCATCATGTATTCCGCTATAAACTCTACAAACGGCTTCATACCTATTGAGGAAAGGTTTTCCCGAGCTTCGTGGCGGAGAGTTTCTGATTGATTCTAAGCAAAGGGTTATTCATGTCCACAATAACATGAATCACAACAGAACAGCCTCAGAAGCATGGAATCTCTTTGATGTTCTTAGGAACCCTGCTCATGCGGGAAGATAATAATGAAACCCTAAACAAACATACATGTGAACCAGTTTCGTCACTTTTCTAGGGCTAAATCTTGATCTAACTTTGTTCACGCGGAAATGGTGGTCTTTTAGGACATATCTAACTCTCGTTGCTTATGTATATGTATGACCTCGGCCGGTTAGGGGTAGCTTGACAATTATTCATAGTTCAGCTTTGTTCTGCGTTCTGAAGGTTACCGTGGAAGGTTTCTTGAGTATGGAAGAACGAATGCGTTACTCTCTCCCCTCTCCCCTGCTGTAAACTCGTAGGCTCTCATAGCATTATTGAGTTAGGGTTATGTCTAGTATGTTCGGTCTCTTCAAATAATATCGAAGGGTACTATTACCCGTCAAATCAACCGACCTTCAGTTCGGTGGCCCCTCACTATGAAACGATCTTGCCTCCATGATATTAACCAAAACAGGTGAGTTGAGGGGCTAACACATGCTAAACCCTAGCAATGGCGCGAGGATTCAAAGGCAATTCCATCAATCATTGCAAAGTTCAAGCCTCCTCAGAATATAGAGATGCTTTCCTTACATTCAAGGTATCCGCTACTCATAGCTGGAACGACGTTGAGACTTGTCTGTCATTCAATAGGCTTCTTCATATTGCCGGAACTAGCCAAAGTAAATGCCTCGTCAACATCACATGTTCTAATACCGAGGTTGGCAGTGACTTCGGCGGTATGAAAGGTTTGGGAGTTGTTTTGAGAAGCTCTCATCAATCGGTTTGGCAGAATATAAAGTATCTGTCTTCGCCATCATGATTCCGCTTTGTTTGGCATCATCAGTCTCGCCTGCCGTCTTCTACACTACCTAAGTCTCGCCATAAAATAAACAAGGATCAAGAGATTATATCCGTCATCATGCAATCAGCTATTATTATCCTCAGCCTCGCTATGCTGGCTGCTGGCGCCCCTAAATCTGTGAGTGGATTTCGAACTATGTCTGAGTCAATAGAGAGAGTTTTGTGGCATAGTTTCTTACTTTGCTTCCAAGGGCAATGGGGTTGTTGTCCGATCTCTTGATGACCTTGCTCATGTCGGCGACGGCGAAGTCGTGAGGGTAAGTCATCCTAGAAACTGCAGAAGAAAATCAGGTTTTCCTACTGACCATTCAACTCTACACGCAGCTCAAGCGTGTCAAGCGTTGCGAGTTTGCTGCTGCTGCTCCTGAGAACGCAATTGTCAATAAGAGGGGTGACACTCCTACCGATTGCGAGGATGTGCCAACGTTCATTACCAACTGGTAGTCCGTTGTACACGTAGTTTGAAAGATACATCAAATTTGGATGGGGACATGGGATTTAGTTACCATGGTCTGTAAGATTCAACATCTTGCTGACTTTCTTGATCAAATAAAGTTTTGGTTTCTTCTACCAACTGAAATGACTCTACCCTGAAGCAGTGGAAGAATCAAGTTTGAAGTGGAGCTCAGCAACTCATCTCTGCCGCAGAAATCGTAAATTTTAGATTCAGCGGCATCTACTAATTCATTCTTTGATTGCGTCGGCCGATTTCTCAAAAGTGTAGCTCATTGATCGGCTGCCCAAGTCAAACGGATCTTACCAAAGAGCTGCAGGTCCGAGTCCCCACCAGCTACATATTTCGTTTGTCGCGTATGTGTCTTGTAAGTATAGCTTCTTTGAGGAGACAAATAAAGGCGATGAAGAAAATCAAGTGTGTAGTCTGTGGTAGGCTGCTGGCGAGCAGGCGCCCGCGTTAAAGCGGAAGGTGCGAGATCTCTCTTCCATCTCTCCTAGAGTGCAAATCCGGGGCCTGAAATACACTTTAGGCCTTTAGATCAGTGGATTAGAGGCTAAGTTATCATTTAGGCATCAGATAACGTAAGTCAGTAGGAGGGAGGCGCAGACAGGAGCCATGCGCGGGCAGCAGCAGCTGCGACGGTCCTGGCCTTCAGACTTTCGCCCCGAAAGTTTTGCATACAACTTCAGGGTTCTTATGACAGTACCCGCAAATCAGAGAAGGACGTGGAGGGTGTGAACGGGGCTCACGGAGTCTCAATTCAATCTTCAACCTGGCACTGTTGACTTATGCTATTTTGGCTTGGGCTCCTTGGAAGTGAAGTAATCGTATGTGTCTGACCTTACGACGAGGTCAATCCACTGTTGTGGTAATAAGCCAAATCACAAGAACTACTGATGGTATAAAGATACGGCATGCCATTCCGGGGGAAAGCTCTCTATAGGGCACTGACATCTAATGAGAGACCGCTTGTTGTTTCTGTACTGGAGCGACTGCTTTTCATGTGGATGTATACTACTTTGCACTCGTCGCTGTCTCTGTCGCTATTGTCGTCGTCGTCGCTACTATCGTCATCTTCAATAGGGCTGACCAAGTTCGCAGACCATATGATTGCGTAGATACAGAATGATTTGGTGGTCTCGTTGGAAGAAATGTTTTGATTGCGCCCAAGTCCATGCTGTAGCAGAAGCCGTAGTATTTCTCTCCCCTTGCTGGCGTTGCTCGGGCTAACCCTCAACAAGCGTTCTCCTAACATCTTGTAAATCGTGCCAAGCTGAGGTCTCCGTGTCTGCAAGCTCAGAGTAGAAGGTTGTGGTTTAACACGGCGAGACCTCGTTGGCAAATATGTGCCATTAGGTGTTGATCGAAGAAGGACTTGACGCAAGTGAGGTCTAGAGCATCCCAGCAGTCGACCTTGTCGAAAACAAGGTTGATGATCTCCCGCGGGAGTCGAAGTAGCCTGGGCATGGCAATGTTTCAAGTGCTGCTTACCGTCGTCATCACTGTAGTATTTGTTGTCGCCGGTATCACTGCCGCTCCCCTTTGTCTTAGAAACCGAGACTTATTTCTGCTCTTGTCACCTCCGTCTCTTTCTGGAGCCCGTGAGATCCTGGGCAAAGCAACGTGGGTATCTTGAGATACGTACTTCAGCGGGGAGCACAGACCATTGATCAGTTATGAGCCAATCAATGAGCTCAAACCACAGTAAAACCCCTTCTCCAAGCTTCCGGGCATTATCACCGCTGCAACGCCCACAACCCCCCCAACCACTCACTTGAAACAACCCTTTAGTCACCACAACGAGAGTGAACGCATCATCGCCACACCACAAATGCCCAACATCACCACCCCTCCGCAGGTCGAGGAACGGCTGACCAGCTTTGCCGACACATGGCGCTTCCCCGAGTTCGAGAAGCTCGACTCGGACCAGGACGTCGTTGGTACTCCCTTCTACGATGAACCCGGCGACCGCTGGTGTCTGCTGGCTGAAATCACCGACGTCTCCCTTATGCTTCGCATCCGCCTCGTTGCCCGCGACCGCGAGGGTGAGAGCCTCGTCATCGCTTTCTACCCGGACAACGATGCCACTGAGGTCTTGGATACAACCAAGCTCAAAGTTGGCCACACCATTGCCTTACTCTATCCTCACCAGCATTACTTCCTTGACGGAACACAAGGCGTTCGCGTCGAGGACGTCAGTACCTGTCGCGTGAGTATACTCTGCAGCTTTCCCTTTGGTCGATCTCATGAATTACTCATACCGTGCAGGTCTTTCCCGTCAAGCTGGCCGAACTATTTCGCATCAATTCCGGTCTTTGCGCATACACTGGAACCCTTGGCACACCCAAGAAGTGCCATTCCTGCGGGAAGGAAGATCCAAGTGTCGTCAAATGCGGCCGATGCGGACTATACTACTACTGCAACAAGGTAAACGTGCATGTCTTCTTCTTGCGTTCTTCGCCGGGATTGACAACATCGGTCACAGGATTGCCAGACGCTTGGATGGAATCAGAAGGGGCACAAGCAGGATTGTCGTGTACTGAAGGACCCAAACTTGAGAGCTCTGTTCAAGATTACCGTTGGTGAAGGCGAGCACCGGTTCCAATTTCCGAGATGAATAAGGGACGAAGGGATCGCAGCGGCGAAAGGGCAATCATAGCCGGAAAATCTTGTGAGTTGTCACAGGGGCGCGAACACAATGAGTTGTTTGCTGGAGACCAGGGGTTCACCAGAGGTTCTGAGTTGGTTCCAAACATCGACAACCTTGAGATTCAGAAAGAGCGAAATATCTGCAAGAAAACGAATGCGATGAGTTCATCCAAACACTCTGATACAGTAGACCCAGGACTGATAAGCCATTCATAATGCTCCCTGCCAAACGACACTAATCGTTTCACGATAGATCTTATCTTGAATACCCTGAGACGGACCCTTGATGGCACGCCTAGGTGGCGGTCAAAAGCTCAAATCAGAGATCAATGATGAATTTACAAGGGAATTTCAACGGTCCATACTGCGTATCAGGCCCCACAGGCCTGTACAATGACTTCGTTGGCTCTGATGTTCATCTGATCTGGAAACATCACACGTCATATGAACCAGCTGCCAATAAGCATCTGTATACCGAGCCCATAACCACACCCAGCCTGCAACTCTCATTACACGACACCCAGCCGCGAAACCATCGATAATTCAGTGCTCCCGTTCGCAACTTCGTAACATGGTTTTGTCGCCGAACAAAATCTACTTCTCGAATACGCTAGAAACCTCTTCGATAGTTTGTCCCTTCGCCTCAGGGAACATGAAGTAAGTAAACCCGACTTCAAATACCAGAATCACAATGTAGACTACATAGTACCTCCAACCCAGGTTTTGCAGGGCCACCGGGTTGGCATATTGCCCAGCGGCACTAAATGCGTACATGAGAAAGTAATGCAGCGCCATGGCTTTAGCTCGCAGATGATAGGGGCATATCTCCGCAATGTACATTGGAGTAAGAGGTGTGTATCCGACATCGGACCCAAATTGGAACAAAAATACCATCGCGACGAGGGCTCTACTTGCCGCTGACTGCTCTTCTCTGATGAACTGTTCCGTGGCCACAGTAAACCCGACCATTGCTAACAGCATAATTACGCTCGAAGATATGAATAGGATGCGGCGGCCGAGTTTTTCAACTAGGCTTGCAGCCGCAAGTGCGACACAGAGATTGAAAATCTGTAAACCGCCATTGATTCCGGCCTGCTGCGCTGGTTCCGTGATGCCGACTTGTTTCAGCGCGACGGAGAGGTAGAATGTGATGATACCACCCCCGCTCCAGGACCCAAAGATGGTGGAGAACACAACTAGAAGCAATCGTCGGCGATTCCCAGGCCCTCGAAACCATGAGATCCAAGTTGTCTCCTGGGTCCGTTGGTCTAGCTCAATGGCCTGACAGATTTCTGCAAACTGAACGGTCACCACCTCGTCATCCGTCCTGCCGTGCGCATGGAAATGAGCGAGAATGTCTTTAGCTTCAGTATGGCGGCCACAAGAGACAAGCCATCTTGGAGACTCTGGGACAAGAAATATAAGCGGTAGTTGGAGGGCTGGTGGGAGAAGCTGTAGCACTGTCGGAATGCGCCAGCTCCATTGGGATGAGATGTGCAGGCTTCCGAAAGAGACCCAGGCTACAACTAAATGGGATGAGCAAAGTGTCAAAGTGCTAGTCCTTTTCAACTTACCGACAGATCCAACGAAGAATAGGGATGCATACCCGCCTACCAGAAAGCTTCTTTGCCGCGGATGGGCCAGTTCTGTGAGCAGGACGGGACAGCTGGCGATCACGAACATGGAGCCTATGCCCAGCTGGGTACTTCGGTAAGCAGGTTTTCGATGACGTATCTTCATGAGATTACTTACTATAAACCGAGTAAACACGTAAAGTCGAGCGTTGTAACAGAAGATTTGGCCAAGTACTGTGGCACTGATGTCAGTCGCTTGTGTCCCTCGGAATCAAGCTATTACGAAAGATGTCAAAGCCTTACCAGCTCCAATAATAATCATATCTCCAATCATGATCATCCACTTTCTACCCATGGTGTCTGCTATCCAGCTCGAGACAGGAAAGGCAATCATGGCTCCAAAAGAGTACCCAGCGCCCATCAGCCCGACGAGAGTGCTGTCTCTCGGATTAAGGCCGAGATCTGGGTGCTTCATGTCAACGTCTGCTAATTTACTTGATCTCATTGTTCATCTGCCTAATTTCCCTACCTTTGAACCCTGAATATGATCAATACTGCGGATTTTGTGCAAGTAATTTGGGTGTGGTAACTTACAGTGAGGCATCGTCAGAAGTGAGGCTATGAGGGTTCCGTCGTACCCAATCATCAACGGGCTAATGAACACAGCAAGGAGTCGCAAATTCAGACTTCGAAGACCATGATCCCTCCACCAAAATTGATCTGATTTGCTTAGAAAATCATTCCCTTTCAGACGTTGACCAGGCTCAGGGGAATCCTGTTCTAGGCACTCGCGGATGCCATGGTGAGATGTTGCCTTTTCCATCTTGAGAGCTCCCTTCAAATCTGTGGCGTTCATTCTTTCAGAATTCTCCATCGCCGGCCATCTCTTCGTAGTAACTTTCCTGAGCATACGAAAAAGTACTGACGGTCAAGCTGATGACATATGTTTGAGCACGCTCGCCGTTCTAGCTAATTCCCGCAGATTTGTAAACATAGTCGAGCATTGTCGGTCCGGATATTGAAGTGATGCAGTCCGATTCGTCAGCGACTTCCCTTGACGTTTTCGGCTACCGAAAGCAGTCAGTGAAAACACCATTCCGAAGCCCCTCAGCTCCGCAATTCCGAATTTGCAGCGCTTAATCAAATAGACAGACTTGCACGCCAATCGCATAGAGTGACGTGTAGCTCTCTAACAAGGATTGGGCTCGTTTATTAGCAATGCTTTTTGCAGGCAGAATGGTTGCTGAGGGTTTTTGGGACAATGTTTGTTCTAAGTTCTCGAAGATCGGGCTTTTCCGATTACAGTTTAATGGTCAAACAGCCGTGAACCTTCCTAGCGATTGGCGGCGCTTGATTTTCGAGTAAAAAGACTTTGGAAAAGTCAAATCTCCAATACATTTAGGTTCAAGTAAAAAGGCAATACTGTTCTTTTGCGAGCTTTCTGCTGTATATTATTGACTCGCATACAAGGCCCGGGATCGGATTCTCAACAAATAGCACTGGAATAACGATACTGCTAGCAATCCAATCACCTGAATGTTACGACCTATAAGCAAGGATAACAGTTAGTCGACCCACCTTAGGTATTAGGCGGCTAGGATAGGATATTTATACTATAGGATTATAAGAATAGTAGGAACTTACTTAGAAATAGAAGAACTATAGTATAAATTATATAATAATAAAATAAGACTAAGTAAATAGTATAAATTACTAAGTACTTAGTAAGGACTACTAAGTACTTATTAGTAATTACTAAGTACTTACTAATACTTAGTTAGGAATTAGTAACTAAATAAAGGAACTATTTAAGACTTATATATAGTATAATTTTAAACTTAGCTTATAATTAGACTTCTATAGCTCTTTAGTAATTAATTTAATATTTATTTTTATAGATATTCTTAGTTTATTTTTATTATAAATTACTTATTAAGCTTAAGACTAATTATTTTAGTCTCTAAAAGACTTAATTTATTATAACTTATAACTTATAACTTAAACTATAACTTTAGTATATTATTATAATATATTAATCTTTAGCTTTTATTAGTAGACCTTATTATTAGATAGCTAACTATAATATTTTAATTACTCTTATTTAATAAGTTAACTATTAATACTTATTAATAGTAAAATAATAAATATATCTTTATATACCTTTATTAAATTACTTACTTTAAGAACCTCTTCTTTTTTATAGTAGCTAGTTTAAAACCTAGTTAAAGAACTTAAAAAAGCCTCTATAATAATAAACTCTAATAATAAAGTAACCTTAAAAAAAGATATTTATAAATACTTTTAAATTAAAGTTAAGAAAAGAGATAATAATATTACTAAGGTTTAAACTATATATAATAATATTACTATAGAACTTTAAAGCTTTAAAGAAATAATATAATAACTAAAAAATAGCCCTTAATATATTATAAACCTAGAAAATAAAGTTATTTAATTTAGAGGATAAAATAGTAATATTAATATTAAAGAACTCTAAAAAGAAATCTATACTTTATATATAGCTATAAATATTATTATAACCCTTATTAGAGGATAATAAAAGCTTAAACTTAATATTTTAATTACCTATAATAGTACCTCTAGATAACTTAAGTTATTTCTAATCTAAATTAAAAACTATTAAAACTTCTACTATAGAGATTTTACTAACTAAACTAAGAAAGTTATTTATATTACTACTTATTTATAAAGATAAGCTCTTAAGTAGTTTAAATCTATATAAAAAGAGTTCCTTAAATATAAAACCTTAGATAAATATTCTACTAAGATTTATAATATTTATAGTAGTTTTAAGGGATTTAAAAATACCTTCTACTCTCTCTTCTAAAACCTTAATAAGNGAAGTAATAAGCTAAGAGAGACCTTATATAGCTATAATAAATAAAGTTAACTAAAGAATATACTACTATATTTATATAACTTAGTATCTAACTTAACTTTATTAAAGAAACTAAGATCTTTATATTCTATTAAGGATTTAAGGATAAAGTTAAAGATAAGATTATTAAGATTAATTATCTAAAAGACTTTTTTTAATATACTAACTTTACTATTAAGATTAATAATTAAATTTTTAAGTATTATAAAGAAAAAAGCGAAAAATAATAAGGATTAAACTTTAGATATAAATACTAATAATAGCCTTAGTAGAAGTTTAACCTCTAGTAGAATAATAATAAACCTTATAATAACTAAAATAATACCTACTAAAGTACTACTTATAGATAGTATAATAAACCTATAGATCTTAGTATAATAATTAAACCTAATAATAAGAAATTATAGAACTTTAAGTATTATAACTATAATAAATAAAGATATATTACTAGAGATTATAAGTAGCTTAAGAAGTTTCTTTAGAAATTAGTAGCTAAATAGCTTTAATAAGTTAATACTATTACTAAAGTCTTATATATATCTTAGTCCTAAATTAGATATTATAATAATAATTATTAAATCTACTTTAAAAATAAGGAAATATTAAGGTATTACTTAAGGGATAGTAACCCTAAATAGTCTAAGTATAATATAATTACACTAGATATATATCTAAGAACTTTAGTAATAATATATATTAATAATAATAAGATCTATAGAAAAACTTAAAAATAACTTAATAAGATACTATAAGTATAATAACTTAAACTAATTCTTAGTTTTATTTTAAAAATAACTAATAACTAAGGTTAAACTAGCTATAAACTCCTAAACTAAACTACTTATATAATACTAAAAGGATAGATAAGAAAAGAATCTAATAATAAGCTAGATTATTAATATAACCTCCTAGAAGAATAATAACTATTTAATTTTATAAATAACTAGACTTTTAGAAAAGGAGAAGGTTCTCTTTATAACTTAGATAAACTTTATAATATTATATATTAATATACTTAGGTAGAGATTATTTATAAACTTACCTCTAATATAGATAATACTAGCTCTAAAGAGGAATCTAAAAAGGATAATATACTTAAGCGAATTATATATAAATAAATTAACTTATATAATAATAAATAGTTTATTAAACTGTATAGTATACTTAATATAAAACTAAGAATATATTATACTTTATAACTTAAGACTAAAAATTACCTCTATTTTAGAATTACTAACTTTAACTATTAATACCTCTTTTAAATATAATATTTCTTTAACTATTATAAAATCTATATA